ATTATTATTATTATTATTATTATTATTATTATTATTATTATTATTATTATTATTATTATATCTGCCCTGGGCCTCAGTACTTCTATGAAAAACATTTTTTCTACAATAACATTCATTATATATGATATAATATTATTTTTCAATGATGGGTATGTGACTTTTCTCTGTCATCTACCGAGCACTTTTTAATAAAAGTTATTAAAATATTATAATTATATTTATTTTTATATTTGTTGTTTCTTCAATAATATTTATGTACCGCACATTGAAAACGCAAATTTATTGCTCACGCAACTCTCACGGAGTTTTCTACACGTGTCAACGAATTGAATAATATGTTTGGTTTTAGTGGCAACTTGTGCAGTATATGCGTACGCAATCATTTGCGGAACCGCAAGATCCGATTAGTGCAGATACACCCGAACAAAGTGAATGATTACTTCTAACCCCTACAGTAATACCGAGGGAAAACATCGCTATAACATTGCATTTTATAATCATTATCTCTTTATCACCCACAATTACAATCGATACTATACTACTAGTACCGTTTAAGCCATCAGTGAACACGAAGCGTGGGTTTAAAGTGAATAGGAGCGAGCATAATAAGTTTATTACTTGTTAAGAGTTTTCAAAGAGTTTAGTGTTGTGTTGTGAATGTATATGAAGAACTCGGGACAATAACATACTATGTCATTATGTGAAGTTTTGAGAAGGGAAGTAAAGATTTAAACATAACCATAACTAAGATAAAGTCGTGCCTATATTTTTTTTACAATATATCAACATTTACAAGATGAAATATCCGTATTATCTCCAAAACAATCAATGGAGTGCCGAAACGCACTAATAAGTAAATTTCAGCAGAAATATGATATATCATGTTATTGTCCAAGGTCATGTACAGCGCGCCAGAAAAGTTTCTCTGCAGTTGCACCTTTTTGGTGAGAGTACTTGCCCCAGAAATTATGTTGGTAGAACGAGCTGCAACTTGAAAACATAAATTGTGAATTCACCACAATCATAATAGATGCTGGAAGAGTTTCTCCCTTCACTTGTTTTCCAGTGATCTTGTAGCTATCAGCATAAATGCAAATTTTAAATAGAAGTTCATGAATCGGTTCAGTGTGGAGAGACATTATGAACAAAATTCATCTAATAGAAAACAAATTCTTAGGAAAAATTTTAAAAGCAGACTGGTTTATTTCAAACTCTCAAATTCACAGAGAATTACAAATAGTACCAATAAAATCTTTTATCCAATTTCTATCTCTAATTTTTTTCTGTAAATTAACAAATTTACCTCTTTTAAAAGATTTAAATTTAGGATTAAATTATAATAGAAATCGAATTCGTTCTATATTTCCCAAGGATATTTTTCATCCTCCTCAACAATTTAATTATATCTTCCAAATTTCCAATATTATTAAATTAATTAAACATTTATTATAAACCTGAATTATTTTATCAAATTTAAATCAACTTAAAAAAGAATTATCTTATGTAAACTGCTGACATCTTGCCTCTATATCATTGTATTAACAAATTTATGCTAACTACGCTGAAGAATTCTTGAAGGAATTGAGCGGGAATTTTTTTTTAAATGAAGAAAATTGCGAAAGGATTTTCCTGGCGCATTGTATCCACTATTTTGTGATTGTGTTGTGATGCTCTTGAGTGTATTGCTCCGATTTGTGTGCGCGCATGGCAGTGCTTGGCCCAGTGCTGTGCTTTGGTAGCCCCTCCCTTATCCCTTTCCCCTCCCCACCCTTCCCCTCTTTCACCTCCCCCCTTTGGCACCCTTCTCGCGCCTTCCGTGCCCCGCGCCCCCGCGCCTCCACCCCCTCTCCCTGAGATTTAATTATGGCGGGTGCCGCAGGTGGCGTGGTTGCGTGTAGACACGCAGACCATCCTGACGATCGCCAGTCACGTCATCACCAAGAACCACCGCATCGCCGTGACGCACAGCGACCACCGCACGTGGTTTCTGCACATCCGCGACGTGCGCGAGACGGACCGCGGCTGGTACATGTGCCAGATCAACACGGACCCCATGAAGAGCCAGGTCGGCTACCTCGAGGTCGTGGGTGAGTACCGAGGCCCGCCCGATTGGGCTAAGCGCTGCCGATCCTGCGTGCCCATCTACAGCGGAACCCCGCAGATCCGAACAAAGTAAACAAAAACACCTGATTTGTGTTAACTTCCTTTATGAAAGAAAAAAAAGCATAAACACAGTGTAAGTCAACCCAATTCTGAATACTGTACTCAGAATACCCGTTAACAGCAGCGACATATTCTGGGCTTCAACTCTTCTAAACGAAGTAGCAACCACTATCGCATGCGATCGGTTATGTACATTCTGTACTCAGCTGTTCGCAACATTGCCAATTCATGTCACTACGTGACGTTGCCATTTCCGTTTCCGTGAGTCTGGTAATCCTATAGATTTATATATGGTACATTTTTTTCGAATAATCCGAATATTTACGAATCCGAGCAGGCCACACCTCCAATTTGTTCGGAATACCGGGGTCCTACTGTATCTCATATCGCACATGAGTCCGATTGGTACTTGGGTTTAGCCCCTATGCTGCCGACTTTTTGCTCACAATATGCTCTTGGATTCTTAGAATGTTTTGACGCTTAAGACGCTAAGGTTGTTATTTATACTTCCATTTATTAATTTGATATACACTGTTACATATTCTAAATATTTTATGCAAATTGTAACTACTGGTTCTGAGGTGCAGGTTTATTGCTCTAAAAGTGCACAATATCCTAAATTCCTTGGCGGTTGTCTTCCATCTCGCAATTTGAAGTGTAGTTTCCGACTTACAGGTTGTCATTTACGATTTATACGCAGCTATGTGTATGTCAGTCATAGTTTCATTACTTTTATTTCATAACGTGCATTAAACTTGATTCATTCAGAAAGTTTCTTTTTCTGAAATATTCTGTCTTTAAGATGCTGATGTAAAGAGTTTTAACGGCTTAGATTCAACATGGCCATTAGATCCAATTTACAAGCATCACAGTATACAAACGATGAAAACGAACTCGAATAACGAATTCCCAATATTCGGTCACCCAAATTGTCACACCTAGAAATCGGGTGATAAGACACTAAAAACGTGCATTTTACTTGTAGACACTTGGAAAGGTATATAAATCATTATCTTTGTGAAGACGGAAACAATACCAACTAGTTACAATCGCTGGAGAGAAGAAGAGGGGATCAGAATTACAGAAATGTAGTGGAAAGTAGTAAAATGAATGGCACAAAGACGTTAGTTAAACAATCGTGTGGGGGATTAAAATGTCAAAGAATATTTTATTTTCATAATACGTTTGTCTTTCATTAAAATGTCTTTGTTAATGCTGTTAAAGTCAAACAATTGTGTATGGTTTATTCACAAATTATTCTGAGTAACAGATGGTTGGTAAGGTTCGCAGGATCTTTACTTCTGATACCTTACTTTACAACCTCAGAAGCACTCGTAATGCAAACTTTTCTTAACTTTCTGAAGTATTCTAAAACATAGACAAATCACTGAAAATATGATTTTGTTTAACAATAACTTTTATATGAGGTATAAAATCCTTCTTTATAAGGAAATCAAATAAAAATTTATTTAGAGACATTTGTTTGGAAAGAATAGCTGTCATTCCTTAGAGTTTCTACTGGTCTTTGTTGTTTCTGCGGACATTTTAACTTTGATTGTTTGATATGCAATTATAAAAACTTTAAATACTCACAAGTCTGTAGAGCAAAACTTCAGCATTTGCAGTAAGCCGTAATATTGCAAGTGAGAGAGCCAATACCCGTAAATAGCTTTTCGTTTTAAATGATTTTACCAAAGTTTACTCGTTAACAACTCTGCTCTTTACCTCGAGTTTTTCTCGTTGTGTAACTGCAATTGAAATTTGCTCTTTCAAAAACCTCTGTGAAATAAATTAAAATTGTAATTGTCTCGGAAACTTTTATGAAATAACAATTACAACGTCAAAAAGGAAAGCTTGTGTCAAAGATTTAAAATAATACAGACTGTTTCAATTTCTGAAACTTCTTAATTCAACCTTCATTCATAGAGAAATTCGTTTATGTGGTATGTACTGTGTTTAAGCTTGTTGGAAGAATGAGTTTCACGAAATGAAAATTAAAATAGATGTGATATTTGAAATATTATCTTTTGCGTATTGTTAACAGTTTGCATATTGTTTTATTGATTTCTGTAAAAATTCAGATGTAAGAATAATACATACTGGAATTTAAAATTAATAAATCTTCCGAAAGACTGCTGCACTAGAGTGTGACAACGTTGATTATAACTATGTCGATTGACTTTTGCTAGTAAATTTGTTGACAGATTTCTCTTTCTTTAACATCTGTTTTATTAAAAAAATAATTTGTTTGAAATAAGATATGTATTATCTGTTATATTCGTATCGTATCAGCGAGCGACTTATTTCTTCGTACAAATATGCTACTCTGCTGCTGCAATACGCTCTTGCAAATATTATTTTTGTTATCATTTGGACTTTTTTTGCGGGGAACGTTTGTTGTACATTTCATGCTTCGTAGAATTCCGTCTTCTGCTCGAGTGACTGAAGATCAATTGCAGCTAATGGAAACATCGTTTAGCACAGGCGACGGGGAAGCCAGGCAATTACAACTCGTTTCTTTGTCGTCTCGATGTCAGAATCGCATCAAAGAACTCGTAATTGCTCGCCTTCGGATTCCCTTCGGGAAAGAAATTTCAGAACTGAGTGTTTTGATGCAACTCAGTACCGACGGAGACATTAACGTAAATTCGTTTGTAATTAATTATCCTAATGAACAACTATGTTGTGATCGTGAAATTAAAGAGCAAGGATGAATAATCGGGTATTAGAATTAAACTAAATTGACGCTCTATATATTTATTTTCCTTTGGGGTTTTTGAATAATTAATTTTTAAACAATTCCTCACACTAGTTACACAGGAAGTTTCACAACAAATGTATTAAACATTATAGTATTTGGGGGGAGGGTCGAAAATGACATTTTAGTAATATAAGCACATGGAAATGTTCGTATAATGAATTTACAAATGGGACATTTGCCCCTGATATTTTGGCAACATCTCATGTGATGGTGTTCGGCAGGAAAACGAATACTCTTTGTCTATGTCAGAACGTCGCTGTGGAGCACGAAAGCAAACTAATTTCTGGCGCTGCTCTAGCTTCTTTCGGCTACATCGGTCCTGAGAAAACCGTGACGCTTTGAACGTGACATCGTCTGAGCAGCCAAAGCCAACGAAGTCTTCAATATCGTTCTCGCTGCAGAATGTGGATTCCTTCACGAAGTGAACGATGAGGGTAAAAAGACTAAATCTATACCTGATTTGTTTTTGCAGTTTTTATTACACTTATCAATTCTTGTCAAAAACTCTCATTTTTATCTGCATTCATAATTCAAGTTGTGTAAACTATAACTCGGAAACGAAAATGTATAGTTTTACCAATATTGCTAATTTCCCGATTTTTTATTTATTTTAGACTTTTACTCGTCTTTCAACTATTTATTGTTAAAATAACGGGAAGGGGTAATGGAACTGAAGAAAACATGCGCAGATTATCTTCTCCCCCATACGTCACATACAATTTTTACTGTATTTTTGACTAAATAAATCTCAATCTATCTAGGGTATGGTATTGGGATGGTTTTTATTTTGCAATTTAAAAAAATGTGAAATTAAAGTAGCCATGTCTGTGATGGAACAACTGCTCGTATTGGGTAACAATGGGAACTCATTGGGTGAAGATAAATAAGCGTGCAAAAGAGTGTACGTATAAATAAGTAACATCTAATACAAATTTAGTTTGAAAGTAAGTATTAGTATTTCAGTTCAGATATAAGTGTAAATAAGTAGCGTCTCATGTAAATAGTAGTCTGTAAGTTTAATATAAGATATAAGGTTAGTTATTAGGCCTTCCCTTAATTGGACTGTTCCCCAATATAAATGTAATAAAGTGATTATATAATTTATTTACGGTTGATGATTCTATGTCATACACCATAGTTTCGTTTGGGTGGGTGCTAGTTATTCCGGCCGCATCAACTCCTGAGGTCATTAGTCCCGTAGGTGTAGTGCATGTTTTTTTCCTCGGGAGATGGCGGTAATCGTCCCAGTGGATGGTGAAATCCGGCGCCGATCTACCGTCGGCTTGCGGGGATTCCCCGATTTTTTCTTTTAAAAATGCACGCATGCAGATCACACACCAGTGTATGATAAACAGCAATAAAATATTGTGTCTTCATTACGTGGTTATTTTCTATTTAGCACATTTTATAATTAACTTTGTAGACAATTACTTTCCTGAGTAAAATGTTAAACACCTTCTTTTAGCCCATTTTTGCGTAATGTTATTTTTTGAAATATTAAAAAAATATTTGTTAGTAAGCGTGTTAACTATGTCAGTTTATCATCAATCAATTGTATACAATTTGTTTGACCTATGATACTTATGAAATCCCCCGTCCAATTCAGCGGGCGATATGAACAGGGTGACTTGCGTTGCACCAGTTGGGCGAGCGTATCCTTGCCTGAATTACCGCTTTGAGTTGCGGTCGCTGAAGGCAGGAAACGTCGCTGTTTGGAACAGGTCGGGGGAGACGATGTTACGCGAATCTGCAGATAACACGGTCGGTGACAAGGTCGGGCGACAAGGACCAAGGAGAAATACAATTACAAATCCCATTCCGTCTGTCAGGCGCAGAGGAAGTACGGGAAACATGCAGCATGAAGGTTCATATTGCATTTCTGCCACTACATTTGTATT